TGCTGAAAAGTACCAACAAGTCAATTGCAATAGAAGATTTTTCACTGATGGATCACGCATTGATGGATCCACTGGCTTCGGCGTCTTCAATGAATACTCAACCGCCTTTCGGAAACTTCAGGAGCCTTGTTCCGTTTATGTTGCTGAACTAGCAGCAATCAACTTCGCATTGGGGATGACTTCCGACATTCCCATAGACCATTACTTCATCTTCTCGGATAGTCTCAGTTCGGTCGATGAAACAAGGTAGGCACTCATCTTATTTCCTTTCTAAGGTAAGGAAGCAGCTGAGTTTGCTGGTCGAAAAATCATATATGATTACCTTTGTATGGGTCCCCTCACATTGCTCAATCACAGGCCATGAGAAGGTAGACTCTCTCGCAAAGGTGGGTGCACAATAAGGCGAGATTTATGATAGAAGATTTCACATGATGAATTTTTCCCATTAGTACGTCAGAGTTCTCTTTAGAGTTGGTAAAACGATTGGACAAGTAATTTTCTTGGGCGGTGGTTACATTCCATTATTCCAAATGTTTCCTCGAGAGCGTGGTTCAAAGGTCTGGATGTATCTGTCTTTGAATACTTAGGTTAGGTCCAAAATAGTATAACATCCAATCGGTTTCCATGTATACATACAATCATTCTCCTGATATGAATGTGTTAAATACTTCATTCGATTACAAGAAATGATAGTGTGTATTAGACTGATGCAAAATTTGAAATTTTCGCTCCACAGCGCTCAAACGGTTCCAAATTGGGTCCTGAATAGTTTCCCAAAATTTGAACTCATGCAGTGAGAAACTGACATGGCACAAATCATTTGAAGTTTATATGGAAATTACTATGGAGAAACCATAATTTCGGTTTATATCTATCTCAAAATTCACCAGTTTAATCTACTTTAGAAAATAATAGCTGAGCTTATTGAAAATTTTCTTAGCTACATATTTGTTGAAGACCATTTTTCGATCAAATGTAAGGAACAAAAATTATTAAGAATTCAAGTCAATGATGTCTTATGATTATGCTCGATCAACTGTTCAGCAGGCAACATTGGTATTTATGGCGCGTAGAATAGAGGACAAAAATCATGGCTACTATGTCAAACTGCAGAATACAGTGTTGCCCACAATACAGTTGCTTAATCTTGCCATAAGATTATCAATCTTTTAAACAATTAATAACTATTTAATTTGACGTTTGGATGAAAAACGATTTTCTGGAAAGTTGTAACTGATAAAAATTTCCATAAGAATAGCAATAGAATTTGTTAACAGTACAATATTTAAAAAAAGCTAGAAGACAATGAACAAAAAGTTTTGTTTTCCCATAATAATTTGCATACAAACTTCAAATGGTTTGTGCCAAGTCAGTTTCTCACTAAATGAGTTCAAGTTTTGGGAGGCTAATCAGGGCCCAATTTGGAACCGCTTGAGCACTGTGGAGCGAAAATTTCAAATTTTGCATCAGTCTAGTGTGTATCCTACTCTATTTTTCACAAACTTAAACATGAAAAACATATTCTGTTAAAAATCACCTGCCGGTTACGGACAGGGGCCTCATTTCCAAGTCGAAATCTAGACTAACATTTGAAAGGGGCGGAAGAGCCAAAATGTAAACAAACCATATTTTGCCACATATAGAGAGAACAGTTTTAGATAGAGCTGGAATTAGGGCGTAACAGCTTTTGTAAACAATGACTTTTCTCGATGATTTCTCGGAAGCCATGGCTCTCCCAGGCAAATCGACATCACCATCGAGTAGAGGAACACTTCTCCTACCCGATGGATATGTTGGTTTGTGTTGGCGTGCCGAGAAATCAACGAGAGAAGTCATTGTTTACAAAGGCTGTTACGCCCTAATTCTAGCTTCAGTACCGTCAACCTCCGTGCCCATGGGGAGGGAAGACAGCATGCAATTATCTTTGTAACAAAATGGTCTACTCTTGATTGACGGCAAATAAATTAATAAATTTGGATATGTATTATTTATTTTTAGCTCGTCGTATTTCGACCTAAATGAAAATGCCGGAACAGTACTGAGGATATAAGAGTCAGTTCTTGTTATTTTTTTTTTTTTTTTTCCTTTATTTAACGTCGGTCTCTGTTCCGCAATCTAGTGCCAATCACCGACGGACATCGATTGCCATCCATTGACGGCAATCGAATGTGCAGGAAGGCAGCTTCCACACCTGCGTAGGATATCGCACCCATTCAACAGCACACATGGGCCGGGACCAACGGCTTTACTTCCCTTCCGAAGGAAGACGTGACCAGAGATTATTATGCCTCAGAAAAATCCCACCGACCTCGACTGGGATTGAACCCAGACCCATTGGGGTGTTAGAAAGCAGTCACGCTTACCACTACACCACCGGCGCCGGCGAGTTCTTGTTATGTTTTATCTCTTGAGTTTAAGTTAAACAGTTTAACGGAAATTATTACATTTTCACTATTATTTTTCTTTTGTCTTGTGACCGAACATCAGATTTTGGGGTTACTTTGATAATACTCGATAAATGTAGAAAAACATGCGTGAAACTCAAACAATTGAGGGGGTTAGAAAGAAAGGGATGTAAGTGACTTTGATCGATTCTCTTCATCGACTTTCTCTTTCGTTAATAATTCAGCTGCAAACACATTCCTTGATTCGTGTGCCATTCTGGATGCTAGATGAGAACCTCCTTTGTCAAACTATGTGGCAGGAATCGCGCAAAATCTGTTTATAAAGGTGTGGCTATCAAAAGAGAAAGTCGATGAAGAGAATCGATCAAAGTCACTTACACCCCTTTCCTTCTAAACCCCTCAATTTAGTTCAAGAAATATGAAACATTGAATGAATATATAATCAGAAGCATCATAAGTAATAAGAAGGCAACATTGAATTATTTGTGTCAGCTATTTCGATATCAAAGATAATATTGTAAACTACAAAATGGAATCAATGTTTCCAATTTGGAAATAGTGCAGAGAGTAAATTTTATCATTATATTCTACTATCAAAGTCATTCGCATTATCAAAGATACCCTGTTTTACGGTATAAGTAATTTATATTACTTCAGTATGATCGATCTTATATTGATGCGCTTGAGTAGTTTTCCTGAACCAGTAAAACATAGGGGAAAGTGTGGCAATTTGGCTAATGGGGCAATGTGGTCACCCATTAAAAATCAACTTATTGAACATATTTTACAAAAAATCTGCCGCCGGCTTAATGATTGAAGCCTGCTTCAACTATCCATTTCATTTAAGTCTAACAAAATACTTTTCTCTAGAGAAAATACAGTCAGTCCACTTCCATTTGATTAACATGCAGAACTTACTGACTCACAATAGTGACTAGCTGGCCCATAATACTGGGGTGACTGTATTCGAAAAATGTTAGACTAGCTCAAAATGTCAAAACTGTTAAGATTTCTGAATCAGAAAATAAGGTCTTTCGCTAGTTTCTTATAAATAATCGTTTATATTCCTTCAGCAGCTTTATAAATGGTCATTGGTTTCTTATATGACACGATGTTTTTCTAGATTTTAATTAACATTAAAGATTTTCTTAACAAAATAATACTTAAGTCCATTCGGGGTAACATGAGCATCACTGATATTTCAACTTAAATTCTTCAATTTTGCATTATTCTTTTCATAAATATGACAGTATCATATGAAATCACGTTTTGAAACAACAGCTTTGGTAAAAAATTAGTCATTCACAAGACTGAAAAATATAGCCTTAAATAGGCAGTAGCCTTCATAAAGCCTCAAGAGAACATAATATTCTTACCCGTTGTTTAGAAGGTCGCTCATACCACCCCGACAGGGTGCTCATTTTACCCCCAACGGTTTAATTTTGGTTACAAAACGAACATTTTTTAAGTATTCTTGCATAAGATTCAAAAGTTCACTTTTAATATTCAATCTGTATTCATGGTGTGAATAGGACTTGAAATCATCCATTTGGTTAAACATCATTCGAATGTGATGATTTTCTTAAGATGGCCAAACTGCCCCACGTTCCCCTATATTATATTCCTGTTTTCATATCTTTCAACTTGTTTCGAGACCCGTTCGAAATATAGATACCATAGATACTCATGTAATAGATGTGCGGATGTGTATATACCAAAATGTGTATCCAAACGAGCATACGATTTGACAGTCCATTTGGATACATCAGCTGACATCCGCACATCTATTACATGAGGATATACAGTTCGAAACCCTGAAGGCCGAACTATCTTCGAACGAGTCAAGACCCCAAGACCCCAAGACGCACAAACACGTTCTTCCCAAGAGGCTCAGCTACAACGGCATTATGAATGTATGCATCGTATAGAAAGGCACACACAGGTAGGAGAGATGAGCAAGCAGAGAATGAATAATACTGACTGATATTGATTTTCATTCTGCGTCTGCCGCAATCTTCCTTTATTTCATTTTTTCGCTCATCACTTTCTCGATTTTCGTTCGTTCCTTTTCCATTCTTATAGACGCACGGGATTGATGTAGGTACCCACGGTACCTACACCAATAAATGGGAAGATAATTGACCTCTCTTTGTACGTCGGCGGCAGCTGCTGCCCCAAAAAGACGGACAATCTGATGGGGATGGAATCGATACAGGGCAAGGTGAACTGAATTCGGTGACCAACCGTTCGTCACCGTATAATGCGATGCACTCTTTTCACCTACCCACTCACGACGAGGACCAAGCGCAAGCTGCCATGACATCCGTTTTTTGTCCCCTCATCAGCTACCAGCTAGAACTGTCAACAGACACCCTGCTTATTTTTAGCCATACGAAGGGGGCAAAGAAACTGCCAGAGACCGAAAGAAAAAAAAAGGTCATTATGCGCAAGAAAAATAAAGAAGCAGAAAAATTGCCAGACAGCCAATTCTTCCCCTCTCCCCCAAAACCGCTTACCCGTTTCTATTACCAAGCTGGAGATTCCGACCCCAAAAAATACCCCCGGATTCCGGAGAAAAACCAACGATTTCCTTACCTGCCAACTGTTTCTTCAGCAGCAACGAAGACTGAGGTTCTGACATTTAAGCTGAATGCTGTTCAATAGCTTTCTCCTAAGTAAAAAAAAATATCACTGGATGAAAATGTCGAATGGGCGACGGTTTCTTTCTTTCGGCTGTCGCTTTCGGATGCTGGCTGCTAATCCTCGTCTTGTCTCGAACGAAAATACAGATTATCAATTTCACACCGACGAATTCTCACAAAAATCGACACGCGCTAAACAATTTCGTTCACCGAACGCACCGGGGATGATTTTCAGTTACTCTTTTCTAGCAAATAAATTATCGCGGAAGTTTTATGGCTGCCGATCTGTGCCAAACGAATAACGAAGCTGCTGATGAACTGCGAACTTTCAGTGCTGGATGAGTTTTGTTGCCTTAAAGTTGGCTGTCTTTATAATGTTGCCCGGCTTCCGGTTTCGATAAATCGGTCACCGGCTTCGAAAACAGCTGTCACAGTGACGTTTTCGATTTTTTTTCGTCAAAATCACCCGTTACTGATAATGAAGCAAAGGGTCTAGGCAAATATTACGTAACGTTAAAACTGTTATTTTTACAGTTGGGTGTCGATGGATTCTCTAATAAAAAAACATAAGCGAACGATAACCCGAACGATTGAACTATTCCACAAATGGTTTGGATGATAATCCGAACACGTCGTTAAGCAAATTAACCAAAACATTTTTATTATGGTTTTTTGTCCGAATTCTTTTTTTTTTCATTTTCCTAAATGCTTGAGCTTCAGCAGGTACACTGAGAAAATTGTGCATATACACGAAACGAAAATCAATTATTTTATTCATGTGTTTCACTTACACGCTAAGCCCGGGCTACCTATTTTTTGGGTAAAAGTGTCTCATTTTCAAGTTCACTTCCACGAACTCAAAAATAGGTAACTTTTGACAGTTCAAAAGTTACCCATTTTTGAGTTCGTAGAACTGAACTTTCCGAATGGGTAATCGACTTAGCCTCTCGTCAAGCTCGTCCTCATTCGTCAAGACGCAATAGCCTAGAAAAATCGAATATAATAAAGAGCTAATTTAAGTTGCTGTTTTTTCATGAAAAATTGTAGTGCAAAATTGTTTATTGCTGATTAATTGTATTAATAGTGTTGTTTTTCGTAAGTATCGATATAAATATGCTATTTGGTGCTAATCAATTATTGCTGATGAAATCGGAACAAAATCCACAGAAATCGTCACCATTCCAATGGCGGCGATTTCTACATTGTTTTCGACAAGTTTTGCCTCCAAGGAAACAATAGGCTGTATAAATAAAAGTTTCCATATAAATCAAATTTTCTCTCTATTCTGACAATAGCCCAGGACTCTCATTACAGCTGCTTCTCACGATTCGGACTACTCTTGCTACCGTTCACGATCCGATCCGGACGGCTGCAACTACCGGTCTCGATCCGTACTGCTACTGCTGCTTTTTGCTGGATGTTGAAGCTGCCGGCTCGCGTATACAGGGCCGCTGTTTTAATTACTGATACGTGCTCCTGCTGCTTCTCATATAGGTAACATATATAAAACTTGTTTTTTTTTCCTAATCCGATTCCTATTTCATTGCATCTTAATAAATTTTTCATTCCATTTAGACAAAAGCTCAAAATCCGGACTCTTGCAACTGCTGATGCTTTTCACAATTCGGACTGCCCTTGTCACCGGTCACGATCCGATTTGGACTGTTTCAACTACCGGTCACGATCCGGACTCATACTGCTGCTGTTTGCTGGATGTTTAAGCTGCCGGCCCGCATATATAACGGGTATATACCGGGTGATACTTGCTCCTGCTGCTTTTCCTGCAGGTAACAAATATTCCATCTAGTATATAAAATTTTCTTTCCGTTTAGACAAAAGCTCACAATCCGGACTCTTGCAACTGCTGTTGCTTTTCACGTTTCAGACTGCTCTTGTCACCGCTCACGATCCGATCCGGACTGCTACAACTACCGGTCACGATCCGGACTGCTACTGTTGCTGTTTGCTGAATGTTTAAGCTGCTGGCTCGCGCAAAGGATCCAATCGATTTTCTTCTCCATTGACAACTTGGCTATAAAAAGTGTTTCTAGTAGTGTTTTGAATATATATTAGAAGATGCTAGATTATTGCTTCATTGATCGAACTCTGTGTTTAAATAGCTGGAAATGACTGTGTACCTACATGCCTGAGAAGATTTAAACAGAAAATCGGCGAAGAGAATCAATCATTGGTTGTTTCATGTTGTTCGGGTTGCATTTATTATTCTAATAACTTGTATTTAACTATTTTTTTAAAATTATGTTTTGTAGAACTTAAAAAGAATGGAACAAATGTTGCACCAGGTGGACGAAGCAACACAAGCGAAGTTGGTTGGTAAGTTCTTCAGTTTAAAAATTGAAATTTTATAGTTTTCAATACCTTGTTCAGACTGCAGAGTTACAACATGTTATAGCGCTATCTTGATGTGTTTTCTGTGTTGCAATTATTCGTCAACAGTTATAACATGTTATAACTCTGTAGTCTAAACATAGCATAAGCTATAAACTTGAGTAACATGCGGCAATTGAGTTGAACTCAATTCACCTCGATGTGGTAGTAGGATTTCAATTAAGTTGACATTGTCAGTCCGCATCGTGCTCTCTTGCCGTGCGGATCTATTTGCTTTTTGCTGAAGGAAGTGTTACTACTACCTAAAGCTACAACACATTTAAACAGCACTTTTCAGTGCTCAACCTGTAAAAAATTTGTACCTTGTTCAACTCTTATTCCTCTTCGGTCCTTGTTTGGACCCTACCCGAGGTTATCCTTCTTGGATATCGATTTGGAAAATTCCTCTTTGATCCTTCAGATTCTTATAGTAATCTTCTTGGAAGTCGATTTGGATAAAAATTTACTGCCGACATGGCGCCTAAACCGAGGGGGGCGACTCTATCTACGATGCAGGGAAAATTGTGTTTTGCTGTGCTTTGCTGCACACACGCTGAGTAGATAGAAAGAAGATTGATGACGATTCTGAAGATTTCCTGCAAAAATATTATGCGCGATGCAAGAAGATGCGAGAAATGAAAGAAGATTTTTCGAATATTGATTCGCTAGTGTGAGATTTGTTGAGCATCTAGAATTGAGATTTAGATGTGTCACCCCCCTCGGCCTAAACGCAAAAGAAAGGGGCAAACTCTTGACCCCCCTTCTGATGAAATTAATTTGAGTAATCAATTTGATTTGCTCACGGATGATGAGAATGATCCATCATCCAAGAAAAATTCTAGTAAACTTTCCCGGCTTAATGCCAAGAAGGAAAAGATTCCCCCTATTGTGATAACCACTACCGATTTCCATGCTCTTCGCATCCCGCATAAACGCGAACTATAAATTGACCTTACCGATAATGGTTATAAATTGTTTATAATCCCTCCTTAACTTTAACTGAAATGGTTTTGGAACCTTACATGAACGTTTGTGTGATAAAGTTTTAACCTTATGTATTATGGTTTTTAGGAAGCGGACCTTACAAATAATGGGTTGTTAAGAACCATTACCATTTCAAATTCTTGTTTTCTCCATACATTTTCGGAAAGAGAACTATATTAGAACGTTTTTACTTATGGTTTGAGAACATTAATGGTTATGGTTATGGTAGTCAGTAAGGCCCATGAATGGTTTTGTAACATCGATCAACTTTATGTGGAATATATCGCGAATTGGTTGCCTGTAAATTAATAATTATCAGTTCGCGATATATTCCACGTAAAGTTGAGCGATAATACAAAACGATTAATGGACCTTACTGACTACCATAACCATAATCATTAATGTTCTCAAACCATAAGTAAAAACGTTCTAATATAGTTCTCTTTCCGAAAATATATGGAGAAAACAAGAATTTGGAATGGTAATGGTTCTTAACGATCCATTATTTGTAAGGTCTGCTTCCTAAAAACCATAATACATAAGGTTAAAACTTTATCACACAAACGTTCATGTAAGGTTCCAAAACCATTACAGTTAAAGTTTAGGAGGGATTATAAACAATTTATAACCATTATCGGTAAGGTCAAGTGATGGTTTGCGTTTATGCGGGATGGAACTTTTGAATTTCGTGAAAGTTAAGTTTTCACTACAAATTGGACGTCGGGGTGAATGCCGTGTATTGGCTGAAACCTTGGACGGATTTAAATGTCTTCTCAAGTATCTTACTGAGAAGAAGCACAAATTTTTTACTTACGACACCAACACTGAACGTGTGTTCAAGGTTGTCATGAAAGGACTGCCCAGTGGTGAATCCCTGGATCAGATCAAAGATGAACTGGCAAAATTACTTGGAGTTGTGCCACTCCAAGTAATCAAAATGAAAATGAAATCCCGTCCTGGCGATTCGCGCAACGGGATTTCTAATGATTTTTATTTAGTTCACTTCAAGTCTAGTGAACTAAACAACCTTAAGGCCTTAGAAAAAGCTAGCCTTATGCTCCATGTCCGAGTGAAGTGGGAACACTTCAGGAAGACTGGAGGAAATTTCCAAAACCTCACCCAGTGCCGTAAGTGCCAGGGATGGGGTCACGGAACTAAAAATTGCTACATGCCAGCTAAATGCATGAATTGTGGTGATTCCTCTGATTCCGCAAAGGACGACTGTCCTGTGAAGGAAGATCCTAAGAAATTTAAATGTTCAAATTGTGGTGAAAACCACAAATCCAATTTTTGGGAATGTAAGACTCGCAAAGCGATCCTACAATCTCGTTCTAACCGTCAGGTAGGAAACGCTCCACGTTTCCGACCAGGTACAAATTCCTCTGCTGTTAACAACGGTCAGCGAGGAACAAATTCTACATTCGTACCCGTAGGTACAAATATCTCCCCTGCTTCAAATGTTTCATCTGTACCTACTCCCCTCGCTGCTAACAATGTTCAGCGAGTTAATGGAGCTACCTATGCTGCTATTGCAGCGGGTAGAAATCAAAATACTAACCAACGTTCTAACGGAAATTTTGGCAATTTTGACTTAGGAAGCATTACCAACAATCAATACGAAACTAACGATTTTAAATTGGCTCACCACTTTAGTAGCCTATTGGTCCCAAGCAAACGATTAACGTACCCTATTCTAGTTGAAATTCTGTTACTACACTATGTTTGTTTTGATTCGCTATGAAAGTTTGACAGATAACATCAGGGGTGTGTGGATTCATGCAGAACATGCAGGGGTGAGTGAAATAGCTTGGGACTGCTTGGGACCGTTGTTCTGGTACTGAGTGAGCCAAAAATAATAATGATTTTCTTCGGGACCCAGTGGTCTTAGAGTTACCTCTATGGCATTACTGCCCCCAAAATGGAATTTTTACAGAATTCATTAATTGACATGATTTCTGATATGCTTAAATCTAACTCCATGTTT